TCGTTCTTCATTTCAGTACAACTGATACTTTCTTTTAACACGAATCTCCATTAGATTTTTTACAAGGAGCAGTCATTTACATTTAAGAAACATTATATATTGCGTTTTTCACTGGGATTTTTATTAGCTACTTAATAGCTAAAAGCTTTCATTTCTTAGCAGTTTCGAAGATTGGACTTGGAATATCTCAAGCATGTTAAATAGTTCTAACGGCATCCGTATATTTCTATTATATAAAAACCAAGATTTCAAAATTTCTTACTTCAACAAGAAAAGTATATATTTCGCTGAAATATATATAAACAATATTTCGCTCAAGAAGAATTTTAGGAATTAACTAAAGCAGAGTGATCGAATTTACTAATATAATTTACTAACAGGATTAAAGTAAGATGGTTTGGCGTGAATTTACGTACAGTGCATGGCGATGCATGTCTGTTGAAAATACAAGGAAACCATCAAGTTCTTTAAGATTTAAACATTCTTTGTATATCTTATTAAGGATAAGGCTACCTTTTCCTTCCCTTCGTTAAACAAACTTTCAGTGTACAATGATTCACTCGGGTATTCACTGATTTTATTTTTTTTTTCCTTTACAAAATACACTGCTGCCTATTAAGATTGCAACACCGTGGAGGAAAGCACATTCAAAAAATGCATTTATTGACGTAAACAGTATGGCATCAAGACAAAATTAAATTTGTAAGCATTTTAGAGGTTTACAGGGTGCGAAATTAGAAGAAACAGCTGCCAGCCCTGGCACCTAAAACAGACCTTTCCCTAATAGGCATGGAGTCAAACTAGGCTTGGATGACAGAAATAAGCAACTCCTTCCATGAGTCTATGCCACACTTCATCAACCGTATTAACTGCAGAGGGGTGGCAGACCAGTCTCTCAGCAACCCATGACCAGACGTTTTCAGTTGGTGACAGATCTGGAGACCGTGCAGGCCAGGGCAGCAATCGAATACCCTGTGTATCGAGGAAGGTCTGCAATATGTGATCTTGCATTATCTTGTCGGAACATGGCGTTTTGGAGCACAGCCACTAGATAGGACACAGCCACTGGATGTAAGATGTCAGAAATGTACCGATCTGCTTTCAAATTCCCGTCGATTTAAACTAGAGCTGTGCGTGTCGTGTACCCAATGGCTGCCCGAACCATCACACCAGGTGCAGCACCCCATGCCGATATCGAATGCAAGCAGGCAACCTGCGGTCTCCTCGGATACTCCAGACGCGTATAGGGCCATCAGGATACTGCACGTAGAGGCGGGACTCGTTTGAAAAGCCGACACTGTGCCACTCATGTACTCAATTTTGTCGCTTGGCGCACGGGAGTCGCCGTCTCTCTCTATGCTGCATTTTCAAGGGAAGCCGAAGTAATGTTCATCCTGCTGATAGTTCACGTTGCTGCAAACATCGACGCACATGTGTTGCAAACATGCCTATTTCCTGACTAGTGGTCCGTGATTTGGTTGTAGAGTTTTGAAGGGCTGACCTCACAATATGTCTGCTCTCTCGGGCGTTATTCATCGGACAACGTTCAGTTTTTGCATGCCGTCAGTATGACCCTCAGCAATCCACTGATTTCATATTCGAATGACAGTGGTTGGATGTCGATGAGTGCGAGCGGCGATATCACGGAACGATAATCTACACTTTCGATAGGCACTATGGAATTTCGAAACTTCCCTCAAATAAGAAGATGAAATATTCTTCTTATTTGAGGCGTAACAGGATCTAAATCCAACCTTAGAAAGTACTTTCCGATTTAAATTTCCAAATTTCCAAATTAAAAAAAAATCATTATTTTTTTATATTTTGTCAGGTAGATAATTAACGCAAGAGAATGTTTAATTTTATTATATATGTATATACGTAATTGCACTTTGCGTTAATCTAGTATTGCTAAAACAGTACAAACCTTTGAATATTTTTATTTCTAAGTATGCCTAAAATTTAAAAAAATATATTTTTCAAAACACAATACCAAAAATGCCCAGCAGATTTTAATTTTGAAATGAATATAATAGTAAACAAACAACAAAAAACGCAGTCTTTTAAAGCGATATCAATGTCACATGGTACTTACGTAATTAAAATCTACAGATATTTATTTAAAAATCATGAATACACAGCTTTCAAAGCTTTCGGAGATTACATGAGAATCTGAATACGGTAGCAAAGAAATATTTCAGAGTTGTTCAAATTATATTTTTGTTTAGAAATGACAGCTCAGTTTAACAGCTGAGAAATAATACATGAGCTTCAAAAAACTTAAATAAATGTCAATGTATATTGTGTTTTGTACTATGGTTTATTAACTCTGTGGATTGGGTTTGGCCTCTTTTAATCGTATTTTTGCATAATGCATTTGTTAACGAAGACATGACACGTGAACTGCAGGAATGAAAAATTCTGCCATTTCTTAGATCATTATTAGAGCTCATTTCTGGATACTCATTAACTGTAACCCGAAATTAGGTAACCTGAAACTAATTTTGGAAGAAAAACGCCACCTCTAGCGTTGGGTTTAATTAGACAGTGGAGGAATAAATGCCAAATTACAGAGAAATTCCAATGAACTGAAGAAGAAATCTTTTGGTTGTTATGGTAACTTACAGAGTTTTGTGTTTCCTTCTGCACTGTCCATTAAATCTGTAGTTGCAACGTATGAGTTGTTTTCTTGTAATTAGAAAGAAAGAATTGCGATGATCAGCGATTAACAAGTGAGTGCTAAACGTTTCTTGCATTGTGAGGAAAGGGGATATCTCTGATTTTTCAAATGCTTAACATCAGAAATGGACTTTATTCCTTAATCCTGGGGGAAAAAATCTTGAAATGCCGCTGATATTATGCAATTACCACGCATTTAATTTTGCAAATGACTTCTATGCAAACACGCAGACATCTTTGCTTGTACTCAAAGACAGCTGAAATTGGAATGTATTATTTGATTATGGCAAAGAACATTAGGGCTACCTGCTGAAGAGAAGGCATGTCTTCGTGAAGAAATATCTGAGAAATTTGTTCGTATTTAACCCCTTAACCTACTATTTAGATTCGAAGATGTTGAACCGAAATTGTATACAAGCTCCCGCAACGTTCGGGACATTTGCACGACTTGTGTAACACGCTAATCCGGGCAATTGTAAACATGACGGGGATAGCCCGTGGTAGAGTAGTCGCGGTTTGTAAATGGCACAGACAAGGCTCATGATATAATACTCGTATTTCTATTATCTCTTTGTATCGTGATCAGTTTCTAGTTGCTCTTGGTCGCATTCGCACGTCTAAATTTACGTTCATAAATTCTAGAGAAGCAACCCCACAAGATGTTCTCTGGCAAAAGATTTTGTGATGAAAACAGTGAGAATTGTGCTAATAATTTTGCTAATAAAGTGACAGTAGTAACGAATTATGTAATTTTCAAAGAAAATATAGGCGAATGATTATTAATGATACATCTGATGACGATCAACTACCAGAGTCTTGGCTTTGGAAAGAAATAAGAAATAGTACAAAAATCTGGGACTACACGATGACTCCTGGCATAAGAGAGGAAGCCTTATGTCAATTAGGAGGAAGTAGAGGAGAATTTGATATATTTAATCTAATATTTAATGACTTATTTTGGAACAATATTTTTTTCCTTTGAGAACAGACAGACTTCCCGTGCACCACATATGTACAACACGGGGCTTACAGAAGTAAGTTAACTAGAACATTAAAGGTTACATGTATAAATAAACATTAAAAGTTACATGCATAAATAAAGCGAACAAAAGCAGAGAACAGCAGTCTGGACTTCAAAAACAGATAAGTTCACTGGCCAAGTCACTCCGCACATTTTCAAATCGTTCTGTAAGCATAATCTAGGGCCATCAAATGTAGGGCACAAGAAAATCAAATGTTCCACATCCTGAGGAACTCTTTTTGAACATTCACATAAATTGTTTGATCGTAAATTAAAACGAAACAGATAGCTTGCAAATTTACCGTGACCAGATAAAAACTGAGACACTTTAAAATTTAACAAGTGGAAAGACTCGGAATTCAGTCTATGGTAAATAGAAGGAAGGAACTTTTTGGTGACTTTATTATTTATAAGCATTACAAGATGAAATGTATTCCTCATTCCACATAGCTAAAAGCTTGTAACCGGAATGAATCAGTATGCAGATTAAGTACGAGAAAATCCACAAAGAACACGAGTGTAAAAAAGTGTAATGTTCCGTTACATGTACCAAAATGCTTTGAAATATATCATACCGTTACAGATTACTAATTTCGTATTTTGGAGTTTTGCATAAATAAACATTTTGTAATACTTGCGTCTACCACAATTATTGCATCAGACTGTAATTGCGTATCAAATATAAAATATCAGCTTGTATTTGCTTCACTATGACTGGCTGGTTCTTATACCAAGCTGGCATAAAGTTGAAAAGTTAGACTTTGCAGACAAAACCTATCTTTTGTGACTTAACAAATTCTGGTTGCCTAGCAACGAAGCTCAGCCTATCTCTATTAGGACCGTAAAACCATCTTATGAACGAAGCCTTACATACATTAACTTATGAGCGAAGCCTTAGATACATTAACTTATGAGCGAAGCCTTAGATACATTAACTTGTGAACGAAGCCTTAGATACATTAAATTGTGAACGAAACCTTAGATACATTACCTTTAGTATATAAAAATCAGATAACCATTAAATTTTATGTAGGCTTGAAAAAATATTTTACTGTAGGCACTTTACTTTTTTTAGATCAGAGAGAGGATTTACCAAATTAAAAAAGATAACTTATTATAGCATATCGTAGCATGCACACAGAAATTATTTGCTTAGTGAAATTGCGGTATATCAGTCTGTGGTTTAACAGAGCTGAATTAAAACGCTTCTTAAATTAGCCTGAGAGTGGATTTGAAGTCAGGAGTGTTGTAGTGTTGTACAATCCTTAAAAACTTCCTAATTAAGGAGCACGAAACTTACTTTCTTCAATGATGATCTCTCCCGGGACATGAGATTTGATCCTGAGGAAAGCGGATATTTCTACCTCGAAAACCTCGTTTGTGTAGTGAGGAAGATACTTGGGAATTTCTCGCTTGCGTCTGCCTGATCTGTCAGGTTCACCGTAACAGTCAACCTGCGTAAATACATAATTTATTGTACATAATCTGCTTTACATAAAAACATAACATATATTTAATATCAATAAATGTTTATGAATAAGTAAGAAGTAAAAGAACGCAAGAAAACTACGAATTCTTATTATGCTCAAAATTAAAAATTAATGACGCATGTTTGCTTATGAAGAGGATTATTTTAAGCTAGTTCTTGGTAGATTTATAGCTAAAATTAGAACTATGAATATTTATTAATAAATGATGATACATAAAATTTCATTCATACATACATAGTAGTAGAAAAAGATAAGAATGTGTGTTGCGTAAGATATAAATACATAAATCAAGCTTTTCATTTTAAGTGACTATCATCCCTTAATTTTTTTATTAATTTAGACATTTCCCCTTTCTGTATTTATCATAGCAATTATTCATAACATACCGATCATACTGCATCATTTCAAAATGAATCCATCTTGCGTAACGTTAGTTAACCTTACGTGACACGCAGAGTAGATATCTTTTATCAAATCACAGGTCACGATTTCTGAGAACCGAAACCTTTCTCTTACTAAGCTTCCAAACTGTATTATTAGCTACGAATTTTTCTGCTTTGCTTTGTAGGGTTTATATTTATTTTAACTAACATTTATTTTAAGTTTAAACTATCTTTCCTGTCAAGCCTTACTTTTCCCTGGAATTGCCAATGCCAGAGTATGTAAATTTTAGTAGAACGCGCAAAGTATTCAAATTGTCAGCGGAAGTATTTTGTGTTAAATAGAAGGGAAACGAGTTCGATAGTGTGCTTTCTTGCTTCACGAGTGTGGAGGTTGCTAGGTAGAAAGTTAAGAACCGCGCGTTTCGGCCTGTGTGCTTGCCTCGGCAGATCGTTGAATCTTTCAACTTTATATTCAGAAGTCTGCTGAAATATCAGCGGTATCTTAGAACGCGGTTAGGTTAGTTACGTTTAGAGAGCCTCGTAGGAAGTAACTTGTTATTATTCATTTTTAGTTTCTTATTTTTATTTTACCGCCGGGTCGGCGTTTGTGAGCGTCAAGAGCACGCATCTGTAATTGCTAAGGCGGTGTGGTGTGGTGTATTTAATTATGGCAAAGCACACGAGGGCTATCTGCCTAAAGGGAGGGATGCCTTTCGTGGAGGACTTTCTAAGGGAATCTGGCTCGCATACACGTTACACATGGGGAAAACCACGAAAACGCCCATGCAGCCAGCCCGTTCGCGGAATTCGAACCTCAGACCGAACTACCAGTGTTCAGCGTCTTTACCGCTCGGCCGCTGGTGGGCCCTGTAATTGCTAAAGTTGAATAAAAAGGGATTTAAACCCTTCTCAAGACTTTGTGTACTCTCCAGTTAATAGCAGTCACCACTATTGTTGCGTGCAGGTTGGGGCCGCGCAACATTACATCTTCATGTGTTCTTGGATTCTATCGCTTACCCCTCTAACATCCATTGCATGTCTTAAGATGTAAATCTCAGAGAATACTATAAAGATTGGGCGCAGATAGCGCTCATGATGATGTGGGAATCAGACTATGTGTTACAAAAACTGGTTGTCCAGCAATAAAATTATGTGATATATATACGGCTAAGTCTGTCTGCAAGTATCATCATGCTATCTACGAAATAAACGTCCTCAAATCCATTACACCTAGTTCTATTGCAATTTATCACAATTATATACGTTTATGCATAATTCTTATGTATGTGAAGTAAGTACATATTTTGTATTTTAAAAATATTCAAGGTAATATTATAGAATAATGAAAACTAGGACAGAACGTAAGCTACAAATATGCGAGTATGAACATTTTTGAGAAAGTTATTAAATTGCTGTAAAGCAGCGATTCTCAACCTTTTGACCAACGCGTACCATCTAAATAAAACTGAAAACCTTTAGTACCACCACTACAAAGTACTACTCCCATTACCAGTCCTGAACAAAGCTCATATCGCATAAATTTACGAGTGTTAGAGAAAAAACTCAGTCAGGATGTTGGAGTTTTAATTTTTGAATTTAATTGATAAAAATAATTTCCTTCTTTGTGTACCACCGGTTGAAAACCCCTGCTCTAAAGTATACGTTTTTTCTTGAGAAAAGCAATAATAACACTTAGTTTTTAATATCGTACTATATTTTCTTTTCGTCATCTAAGTTGCTTCTAAACTAGCGGAATAAAAATTAAAATTTTCAGATAAAAAGTTCCATATAAGCGCAATAATTTGTTAATAAGACATTTATGATTTTTCTTAAAAACTTAATAACGAGAAAGTTTTTGCGAAATTCCTGCCACCTCCTGTACTTCAAAATATGATTTCTGCACAGTGTTTGTGAGGCGTCATTAATCTGAAAAATCATTTAGCCATACCATTATCAAGTGAGGATTGTTACTGATGGTATTCATAGCGTAAAAGTATCCATAATTTAGCAGTACAGAATTTTTAAACAGACTGATTTTAGTAACATTTACGCTAATACTCAAAACACTGCATACATTGACAAAAGATATTTGATGCTTCTAGAAAATATTTCTTAAATATTTATGTTAATTCTTTAAGACATATTTTATAACTGAAAACGACTGCCCAAGTATATTAAAAAAGTATATCTCCGAGGGAAGCGACTATATACCTCACTTACGTGCCCATTATCGTAATAGCATCATTAAGCATACTTCAGAGAATCTTTTTCGCCACTAGATCTAATTTAATTCAAGTGCTGGCCGTCTTTAAAAGAATGGTAACGATAACTATAAAGTGTGTGCTGCTTTTTTAAATTATATACCTTCGATTGGGATTTTCAATTATGAAATGATCCATTATTTTTAATGTCTTATCATAAAAATTGGGAACGAAATGTGCCTTTGAACAAACCTTCGAATAAATACGAATACATTTTCCTTTGATCTTTTATTCCGCATTGAATAATTATTTCAGATTTATACTTACTTATTTCAACAACCTCTACACATCATTAAAGAGAATTAAAAGATTTTTAAATCAGCAACTCTCGCAAACAATATAATTGTTTTCATTCGTGGTAAAGGTAACGTACACAAGTATTCTAATTATGGAAAAAAAAAGTGACGCATTGTTGAACTTGTAATATAAAGTGAGCAGGCTTCCGAGTGAGGCCAGATGTATGGTTAGTCATAGGTTGTATTTGCAAGTTTGCATCCCCAAGAGGAGATTTAGCTGCTCTTGAATGCGCGAATCGACGTAGCCTGAAGCTATCTTATGCAACGCTGCTATAAATTGTTAAAATGATATAATAAATTTAGAAGTATGTTTCTGTCAATTTGAAATAATTAAAAGAATCACTATATATGGTAAGTTTGTCATCAGACTTATTATGTATCCGAAACAGTAATACTAGTTATTGACGGGCAAAATATATAAGGAAAATAAAAAGTAGGAAGGAAAATAAATCAGACGAAAAGGGTTTTTTTTTTTTTTTTTTTTTTTTTTTTTTATAATAAAATATACAGGTTTTACATTTGACAAAAATTTAGAAGAAACGCAACAAAATGTCAGATTTGTTATGTGATCTGTCCATATATGTGTCTGTTATATGTCTGCTGCATATTGAATTATTTAAATTGTTTCTCTAAATATATCATAAATGGCGACTGAAGTTACAGATAGTTATTTTAGAGATACTTTAACAATTACAGACAGTTTTTTGTTCGATTACAATCGAATATTTGGTTATCAAAGGAAATTATGCTGTACTTTTAAGCCCTGCGAAATTATTTGAATAAAACCATAGCTCGAGTAGTTACAAAAATTCATGCGTCATTCTACACATGGATAGACATCCAATGCTCAGCCCTCTTTCTGTGATCTTGAGATACATCTGAATATTACCAAGGGTTTCAGATTAGTGAATTTCAGCTGGGAATAAATACCAAGTATGATGAAGAAATATGTTAGTAAATTTTATTTAGAAAGCTAAAATGAAGGACAATTAAAGCAGTTAAAGCTGTAAAATTACAGTGAAACTTCAGTTAACGAGTTTAATTCGTTTTTGAAGGCCGTTCGTCAACCGAAGCAATTTTTCCGATAAAAATTAATGAAAAATGGATTAATTCACTCCTGAATAACAGATGATTGCTATTTAAACCTACAAGATACAAATGAGAGGTATACGACCCGATCCACCTGGTCTAAATATATGGCTTATGATCACCACAAAAAAAAAAAAAAAAAAAAAAAAAAAAAAAAAAAAAAAAAAAAAAAAAAAAGGTTTATTTTATAACAGCAAACTGTAACAGTTACGGTATACTATGTAACGGAAAACTTATAAGATATTTTCTCCCTCCTTTCTGCATGCTTTCATGGTGTAATGATAGCAGTCACGACGCGTATTTGAGAGGTCCATGTTCGAGTTCCAGTGAGAGCACTGCGCATTTTTCACATCATCTGCTTCGAAAAAAACATAAAGACTCTACAGTGGCGCCCGAACTAAAAAGGTAGTAGATGATGATTCTTTATCACCATGTTTTGATTACTGGGTCCCCTAATCCCCAGTGGGCCTTTAAAAGAGGGAGTGCATAAGGCATTTTCTCCCTCCTCTGCATGCATTCCTGGCGTAACACTCGGCGCGTATTTGAGAGGTCCAGGTTAGAGTCTCAGCGAGTGTATTGCTCGTTTTTCATGTCTCCAGTTATAAAATTACCTAATGGATCTATAAAATTTACAACAATACTTTGTGCGCAAGGAAATAATTCAAAACTTATGGAAATCATTAAATATAAAAAAGATAAACACAATTTTAAACAGATAAGTTAGATAAAAACTTTATTTTATTTTATTGCTCTTCCACAAAGAAGAGTGCACTAAGCCGACGGCATAAGTGAAGAATGATGAAGAAGATATTGTTTTTGTATCGACCATAAAAACATCAGATAACTAACTGTCTTTTAGGTAGCGTCCCCTTTCATCTTTTCTGCGTTTCTTATTGCCACTCGACATTGTTTGAAATTAACTACACTTCTGTTTC